AGTTATGACCTGTGCGCAGGGACGTGTTCATGCAGTAGGAGGACCCCAGTACGGAGTTTTCAACACCTTTTTCTTACCAATGCGGACTGCAGTTTTATCAGCAAACCCGAATAGTAGTCCCCTGTGACTGTTTTCCCATTTTCAAGGTAGTCAGTCATGATGATACCTTCACAATCTCAGAAACACGACAGCATGACCTTTCCACTTGACGGTGTTACCTTTGCCTTCTTTGGTGAGGGAGAAGAAGGGGTTTTCCATTGCATGGAGGACATTTTTTGTTCTTGATCTAAATGATAAATCCATGTTTCATCCAAAGTCAACATGTTTTTAAAGAAATTTGTGTCATTGGCAGGGGCGCTTGAAGCGTCTATATAATCAAATAATCACTGCTTCCCTTTCTAATTTTGAAACATTGTCGCAGTCAAATTCACATATAAACGTAAACCTCATAAATTAAATGTAAAAAGACGTTCATAATCAACAATGAGCAGTATGCCTAACATTCAAAAAGGTTTCACTGCCACAGAAATAGCCTGCTCACCCCTCTCGGGCCCCTCCATAAGCAGTCACAAGCTTTGATTAAGTAAGCTTAAAGTGAGGCTGGAGGAGTCTACAAATAGAGTTGAAGGGAACATGTGCATAGCAGTCAAAACTGTTTCATTGCCACAAATACCCTGTTCACCCCTTTGGGGCCACAGTTATAAGCAATCCCAAACTCTGATTATGCAAGCTAACTATTACACTGGTCCAGACTACCTCACAAATGTGAGGTGAACTCACTCCTAACAATCTCTTGACTGTTGCAAGTGCTTGCTTTTTTTCCTCGACTTTTTACCGTCCTATAATCAGATCGTGACCTCGATTATAACACCGCCTCCTGGCCGCGAAAGGCTAGACAAAAACAGCCAAATGTGAAATTTAAAAAAAAGGATAATTGTTATGTTCTACCAAAGAGTTAGACTCACCGGTAGATCTATAACATAGATCTAGTACTGACATCTCTGCTTCTTTGCTTTGTGTTGGTGTATTCACATCTAAAGTTACATTTAATTGTAGTTGGAATTAATATTTAATAAGATACTTTCCCGATTATTTTGTCGGTTGAACATACAATGTGAATTCCGGATTTGTTTTCATTCAGAACTCAGAGTCGCCGCCTCGAGTAAGATTCTTGTGTGATATCTCCAGGCCATATATGGTCCCGTTTCACTTTGATTACCCTGCCAAACAAGTCAGCCTTCGCCCCTGGTCATTGGACGCAATTCGAAGGAGAGTTTTGCAAGACTCAACTCTCTGCTTCTTTTGCTCACTTGTCAAAAGGTGGGGTACCCACGAAGCAGACACCTTATTCATGTTTAGATGGTCATGTAGAACCGTTTCAATTGACCCTACATTGATTCCCGATTCACCTGAGAGCTGTTTAGCAGTTATACGTCGGTTTTGTAAAATCAGTTTCTTCACTATGGATACATTCAGTTTAATTACAACAAAGGAGGGGGGCCCTTCACGATTGTCATCCATTTACCGATATGAATCCAGATTTGAATTTTTTTACCCAGTATGTCACAGTATTATTACGAGGACACTTTGTCACCATAAACTTGGACCATTTCCTGAAAAATGACCGAAGGGGATTTCCCTTGCAAGTGTAAAAACTTGATAATTGAGTGACATTTAACAGGCCCCATTGCACAGCTTCAGCTAAGAAAAACCAAACGTTTTTGTGCATGGTTTCATTGAACACGCTGACTAGTGCCTTATTATAGTCGGATTTTCCTGAAAATGTGCATGATGTGTTCTAAAGAAATTGTCTAAGGGATGGGAAAATTTCATAACCAAAGACTTATTAAAGTTTAACCCCCCTCGTATAGCGCAAATTCCCGTTCAACAGCAAGCTCTATGCACTTAAAATCTATACTATTACCCCAGAAGACCTGAGAGCATTCTGAAACAGACTCAACTTCCTGGGAAGCATACAGTGCAAGCTGCCAATTATACGCACTAAAACACTAACATACTGACATCTTTCCCTGTCTATGGCCGAGTACTCATTCCCACCTGGGAGAAGTGAGTACAATTCGTGTAAAGTGTCTTTCCCAAAGACACAACGACGGGCCCGTGGCTCGAACCACCGAACCCACTACCTCAAGATTACGGGTCCGGTAGCCTAACAACTAGGCAACACGTGTTCAGTTAATAATTGCTGTTATTCATGTACTCTCACGGTATAGTGGCTAGAGACTGACTCTCTTTAGTTCCTCTGATGAGCCTTTAACTTTGTCACTCAATAGACACCACATACCTCTCTCATTTCGCAACGATCCCCACATGAACTCCCCTTCCCAATACAATAGAATGTTTGTATTATATTATATAGATCTACAACCACCTCGTTTCTTTGCCTACCTTGGGACGAGCATAACATTGGTGGTACAACGGGCCTGGCGGTATACGGGAATAAATATCAACGATTGCCATCTTGACTAGTGGTAGACTAAAAAAGGTGAGAGACCAGAGACAAACTGTGGCCAATGGCCTGTCTTGTCTCATCTAGATCTGACTTGCGCATATTGCAGAAGAAGCAACCAATTGCTGCATACAAAGCTCCAGCATAAATTCATATTTAAAGAAGCTAGAATCGAAAGCTAGGATCGGAAGTAGGATTATGAGTCTAGGACACCATAGACATACTGGCTTTTATTTTTTTTAAACGATACTTGTCAGTCCTCATCGGGCCTCCTTTTGTGGGCCCTCGAAATATAATGGGCTGATATGTGGCTACGCCAGAAAGAATCTATTTTGCAGGCAAGTCGAGGTGGTGCAGTTACTTTGAATGGTATCCTTAGTGTAACTTAAAAATTCCATTTCGATTTTCATCTTAATATTGGCCAAATCCTATGGTTAATAACATTATTTTTCTAAACAATCAGCGCAAAGCAGGAGCAAATCGACCGCAACGCTTATAGAAATAGGCCCATGGTTTGCAAAGGTGTGTGGAAGAGATTATCAAGCAGCTACAGAGTGGATGCCGAGCGCCGTGTGCAGTGTCTAGTGTGTACCTCGCTCGAGGCCAATTCTCTGGAGGTATATCGGGGCAAATCTCATTAATCTAATAGGAACGGTACAACTCAGACAGTTGGCTAGGCGGAGTAAAGGCGTAAATTATGCTATGTTTATATGGGCGTTCCTTTTTGTACATAGGGAAAATCTGGCGCTAAGTGGGGCTGGCAGTACAGAGGGGGGGGTTAAAACGAAGTTTGACTGTAGTCTATTATATAAACCGATAATATGTATATTATTTGTTTAGCATACATTCAGGGGCGGCTCGTGTGGCTAAAAAATGGACGTGCGCAATTAAGCTATCGCATGCTGAAGATAGTCAATGACATAGTAGGCCTAAATGAGACGGTGTATAATTTTAGGTTCTTTGGGTTGGTGAGGGAGGACCTCGTGTTTTTATTTCCATTCTTTTTACTTGTCGCTTTAATTTTTAGTACTAAATTTGTTTGTTAGCTAAACATCAATTTCGTTCATCCTGTATTGGAACTGAACACTCAAGTAATAACTTTCACTACTCCACAACAAAACAATTCAAAGGCACAACTCATAGGACGGTCGCATTCACCTCCCTCAGATTCACGGTCACAGAGTCACTTAAAATAGTGGCAAGACAGACAATGAACCAATCATAATTCACTTGAGAACTCCGCTGGATTGTTCCGGGGCTCACATAATATTGACAAAAAATAGCGTACGGTCTATCGCGTTTATTTTTAGACTGCCTACTGTTGGCTATGTTTTGCCACTATTCCGCAGGAGCACATTTGAGATGTGCCGTCTTATTAATATTAATGTACCACCAAACTCGCTACGAATGTCGTCTTCGCTTGGATTATCCCCAAGAGCGATTCATAGACCTGGTTACACTGTTGAATATATTATTATGTTTTGCTAAAGCGCATGGACTTTGGCATGGCATAATAGATGTTTTACGGCGCTATAGACACAAAAATAGGTAGTAGAACATTTATAAACTTTGGGTGGCACTGCACGACCGTGCTCTATGGACGAACCGCGCCAGCATACATTCATTTACAAACATAAATAAACACAGGCACACACACACAACACACGCACACACACGCACATACACACACACACACACACACACACACACACACACACACACACACACACACCGTTTAGGCTCTTAGGCGCTTCTTTGTCTCCATTTATCACGGAATACTGTTCCAATGTAGTATCGTGTCACGAGTGTGGACTATCAGCAAACAAAGATAGTTCAAACAAGTATTTTTTGAACCATGACGAATCACTATTGAAATTCTATAGGCCCCCTTCGTTTGCTGCGCACGATTTGTATACAGCGGTTTCTATTTTTAAATATCTCTGCGCAGTCAGCTCTAACTGAAGGTATAAACCCGTACTGTACCGATATTGTCATTAAATTAATGCCTGAGTGGTACCGCGATAGTAATTTATCTTGCTTTGATCCGTTGTCATTAATGTACACCGCCCACCAAGATATTACATTATTTGGGAGTCGGGCTGCATCGATTTTCGATTTTGTCAATCGCAGGGCTCACCAAGGCTCAATAGTGAATAGGATAGGCCTACACCAGTGCAGCGGAGACTGAGCGAATGAAGTTTTTCGATAGCCTAGGCTAAGAGTGCGCTAAGACTTTTGCAAAGATGTACTTTGGCCCTACATTTGGAACCTACTTGACCTACTACGCACTACGAGGCTAGGACTAGGGGCTCGGGTTATACTCTGTACTGTGTAGTACCAACACGAGGTAAGCTGACTTTTATGCACGCAAGATAATTCCAACTTATTTTAAAAATGGAAGAGGCGGGGAGGAAAGGGAGGGGGGGGGGGATATGATAGGCCTTAACCTACACGTCCCCACGAGACACATTAGAACATGGTGCTTAGTTTATTAAGACGAGGGGTCTGCTTTTACACCACAAGATGGCTGTCGCTTAGTTGGAGCCCCTGAGACAACCGAGAAATATTGTTTTATGGTGATTAGATCCAAGCTCTTGACCTGAGCACAGAAAAAAAAAATCAGGTTCTTGTTCATAAAGTGGAACAGTCGCTCATCGCATATTTCCTTATCTACAAGACAAAAACATTGATCACCACAAATAACAAAGAGGAACCGATTTTTAAAACATGTGCGCAGTATAGATAATTTTTATATAAAGAAAAAAAATGATTAAAAAGAAAAAACGATCTGAATGAAGTGCATTTATATTTATAGGCCACTAAAACTACAAAATCACTGTTGATAACAACAACAAAAAATGGTAAAAAAACAACAATAAAAAGGAGCAACAAGTACAACAATATCATCATCAACAACAGTAACAACAACAACAACAAAAGAAACAAAATAACAAAAACATTTAAAAAAAACATTAACACCATCAGTGTCGACGTCAATGTTTTTCGATAGTGTCATAACAACGACAACAAATTTAACATAAAAGTAAAGGAAAATTATAACATTAGGCCTAGCATAAACAGTTATCAAAATTTAATCTAGGCCCCAATGCCCTACATTTCCGTGCCTTCAAAATATTTTCAGCCTTTTCTCAACTAACCCAACTGTCTGCAGTGTACTTTGGTATCAGTTAAGATTACACACACACACACACACACACACACACCTTGCTCTTCCGCTCAGCCTCAGACAGAGGGAAACCACAGAGGAACGAGAAGGAAGACTCCCGAGGAGTGTTTGCGAGTTCATAATCTGGTTCTAGGCAAGCGGAGTTCAAAAGTCAAAAGGTACAACGTGGAATCGCATCGAGCGTTGATTGAAGAGCTAGCCTAAAGGCGAATGGCGAATGGAAGTTTGCTATCTTTTCATGTCAGTCCGAGGCTATTCTCGATCAAACACCACAGGGTGAGTTCAACTTTTTTGTTTTTTTGCTTTGCTTGTTCCGAGCCGCCCTTAGATCTAATTCCATTTGCCTTTTTGAAGAGAATTCCGTTCTGTCAAAGATATTATTATAGTTTAATCTAATAACAAGCTTAATATGTGTTAAATGTGTCTTTTTATGCAATATATTTGACGAACTGTATGATTTATGAAACTACCCAGTCTCGAACTCGTTTTATAACCTCAAAATGCTTCACTTTTAAAACTCTACACCACAGTGCCAAAGTCATGTTTTCTTGAACTTAACTCTAACTCTGAAGTGTTTTTTAGCCTTGTCTCTCCAATTTCTTAAAAGAATGCTTTACACAGTAACAACCGTTCATCTCGATAACATGAAATCAATAACGAGGGGAATCCTGACTTGGCACCCCCACCGTTAAAAAATAGGTCACCAGCACATGATCACGAA